ATATATATATATATATATATATATATATATATATATAAGACAATTAATAATACTTTAAGCACTTGTCAATGATCAATTATAAATTATGTAGTATAGCATTCTTATTAGGCATGCTATTTAAATAAATTGTCAAACTTTCTAATCGGTATTTTAACAAACAATTCATGTAAGTAATTATCAGTATTGTATATAAGGAAAATGTAGCAAAATGTGGCTATTTAAGCTAAAGTTATTTAAACGAAAAAAAAAGTCGTGCTTTTATTTTGAAATTATTATTTGTAGCTCGGCGTCGGCTGCTTCGCGCTGCTTGTAGGGCAAACGATGACAGACGATTATAAACGCTGTTCTTATTTTCCTTCTTCGTTTGCAGAGGATTCGTGCGTTTCCCCGCTTTTATTGGTATAATTAATCTGGTGTGTGTATGACTTGTCAGATTTGATCTCCCGCCGTGAGGCAGCTGAGATCGTCCTAAACCTTTCCTCCTCCTCCTCCTGAAGACATTCCTGCGCAGATCCTAATCAGCACACACGATGGACATGTGTTATGAGCGCGTGGCCAGTGTCTGCATCTCGTGGCTGTTATGTCCGTGAGCAGCTGTCAAACCAGGTAACCTCTGCTGGATAAACCTCGGCTGATCGGCTGAAATGAGAGCTTAGAGAAGGGCCATGCGCGGACGCGCTGTGATTTAGGAGATGGGTGAGTATGAGGACCGTCTGCATGAGCTCGAGGGGGAGGCTAATTATTTCCCCCCTCCACCGCGACACCCAGGCGGCCGCGAGCGACTCCACATCCAGAAGAGCAGCGTCTGCTCCAGGGCGTACTTCGTGGTGGTCATGGCCTTCTTCCACATCTATATAATAAACATCATAGCTTTGCTGCTTTATGTGCACTATAACACGGGGTCTGGGGAGCAGGATGTACCCCTGGAGAACAGTGCTAGTGCCCCACGACCCATGCCTGCTGAACACCAGACCCCATCCTCAGCAAACCTGAGCCCGGAGCTCTCCTTCCAGCTGCCGCGCCTGGAGGGCATCCGGGTAAACGCACCGATATCTCATATATGTTTCTGTCCTATTCTAATTTGCCTTTGAATTTTAAAATATGAGAAGTCAGGGAGTGTTGAAACACATTTTGTTTCAACATCTGTAAGTGTTTTTTTTTTTGCACTGTCTCATTTTTTAATATTTAACTTAATTTCCTATTTGTCTCTTATAAATTATGTGTAATGTGTAAATTAATGTCTAGTACAAAAAATGCTGTTGTTCCAACATACCCCACTAGCAGTCCTAATACTAATAGAAAACATGGACATTTTAAAGATTGTGCATGTTTAAAATAATTAATAATGCATCCCCATCACCATCCCCACCCTCATTTCATTTTAAATGTAGAAAAACAATTTTATTCAAAACGGTAATACGATAAGACTGGAAACAAATAAATCCATACAACATTACATTTCAAATTTTTGCAATTTTAAGCATTTCAGACATACTGTATATGACGTCTTTATTATATGCATCCCACTGGGGGCAGTACTATTTTACCATTTATTAATATTTTGAATTAGCTTTTATTTTTTTTTATTTTTTCAGCTTCTGGCTATTTTCATAGCGAGAAAAATTTAATTATATCAGGTTTTTATGATCTGTTTTTGCTGCAAACTCTAAAACTATATTTGGTTTAACTTTGTTAAAAATTCTTCAACGGTGTTTTTCATTTCAGTTTAAGTTTGTCATTTTATTAAGTGCTGTTGTCACTTTTATTGTTATTTTTAAATATTTCAGTCAGTGTAGCTTTAACTTGAACTTTTTTCATTTCAGATTTCGTTTTAGAAATTTTAGTACTACAACAAAGGCCAAGGCTATTTTATGTCAGTTAGTTGCTAAGGCAGTATTTCAAATTAAGTGTTTTTTTTTTTTTTGTAGTTATTTAATATTTCCATTTGATATCATTTCAGCTTTATTTCAATTAATGAAACAATTTGAATATTAAAAGTTGTATTTTAGTTAATGATTACAACACAAATAATTAAAAAAGTTGTAAAGAGAGAGAAAGGCGATTTATTGCTATCTGGAATTGAAATAATCAAAAATGCCTTGAATGACAAACATTAAAGTTGATGTTAATTCCCTCACTTGAGGGGCACTCTTTTCATAGAGTAATGCTGCTCTGTTTCTGTATGTGTAGTTAATGAGACTCCCATGTTATTAATGTTACTTCCATGTTATATCTTTTCTGCTCAGGTTGGACACGTGCAGAGAGTTTCTCTGGTTCCCGACCGGACCCATAACATGCGCACCCTCAGCTTGAAACCTCTGCTGTTTGGTGAGTTTCCAATTTCAGCTGTAGAGATTCATTTTTATATATTAACTGTAAGTTTTGGTTTCGACATTATTACAGCCCTCAAAGTGACCTCAACATTTGTGACAGAAATGGACATGTGGAATCTAGTTTCAGAAAAGCTTTTGAAAAAGTTTAATATCTTAAGATTTAAAAATATAGTACAAGGATCTTCTATTATTTACAACGTTATGAACACTCTGAGGTACGTTTTCTGAAACTCTACCCTCTGCACCGATGGCTTTTCCACTTGCGTGCTGCTTGGTTGAGTTGCCGCTGGCGTTTCCCCCAGCTAAACGCTTTCGTGACCAGCAGTCTCTTGCCCGACACAGTGCCTGTCAGCAGGACGGCTCCCCCGTCGGGATGGTTGTGGGTCAGGTTGCCCACGCAGGTGGCGTCCCGCTCCAGCCACAGCATCAGACGGCTCCTCATTTCCCCTCCCAGCAGCGGGCCGTGCTTTAGGACCTCCAGCCGAGAGCCCAGGGAGAACATCTTCAGGACAGAACTACTGGAGTTCAGCTTGGACAGACGCACTTTAACCACTAGCAGAGAGAGACAGAGAAAGACATGAGCAACGAGTTCCAGCATGAACAGTTTTAGGTTGTTGTGTATAAGCGAAAACTAGCGTTTCTTACCAAAGTCACTTTTACAGAAGAGGTCGAGCAGGTCTTTGGATGACGTGTCCTCCTTCAGCTCACAGTCTGTGCAGCTCGCGCGTGGCACCACTGAAACCAACCACAAATATCAGTTTGACAGAGAAAACCCAGCATTGTTTCTATCTACATTTCTCTGCAAAACTGTGTATGTAAAAAAAGAAAGATCTCCGTTTACCTCGGCCGTCATTGCTGGTGCCGTTTTGCATGTGCGCAACTGAGGAAATGCACATTAGGTGATCTTTGGGAAACTGGTCGCATTGTAGTATTCTAGGCCAGGGGTAACCGTAGCAGTTCATGATGGGGGCGCAGCTGTCCCGGACCGACGCACACAGACTCCTGCATGGTGAAATGATCCTGAAAAGACAGAGGCAAAGTGATGAGAGACTGTTAAGAGCTTTGTGATGAAGTAGCATAAAGATGTGAGGTTTCTTAGCCCAAAGCCTGATAAATATATTTACTGGTGGCCAATTGCAGAAAGACATTATAAAATAGCAAAAAATAAATAAAGTTAAAAAAATGTTTTTATATTATACTATATTATATAATATAACATATAATATAATATTATATTATATTATATGGGGGCAGTCGTGGCCTAATGGATAGAGAGTCGGACTTGTAACCCAAAGGTCGCGGGTTCGAGTATCAGGTCCGGCAGGAAATGTAGGTGGGGGGGAGTGAATAACCAGCGCTCCAGCAACCCACTTGGATGGGTTAAATGCAGAGCGCAAATTCCAAACTCCCTCAAAATATAATATATTGACAAAAAAAATTTGGCCATGATTTTTCACTTGTTTATAAGTAAAAACAAACATGTAAAAAAAATATTACTTTGTGATTTAATAATTCATGCATCAGAGGGATATATATATATTTATTGATTTATTGTTGTTATGCCAAAGTCAGTAAGATTTAGTCCAATGCAATAACATTAACTACCATTTAACATTAACTAGAAAAATTAATTAATCCATGGGTCACAATGACTGAAACACAGCATGAGGATTAATCAAATAGAAATGAATATAATCCACTAAACTGGCAATACTGGCAATAAACATGTTCTTGCTTAAGCAAGGGTATTGGGTCTTGCTATATTGTCATTTCATTGCAGATGATTTTCACTTCCACTTAACATTAACATTAGTACTAATTTGCCTAATAATGGCATCATTTAACTGATTTAAATGCCATGTAACACTGAGCACAAGCCACAACTGAAAAAATATCTTCAATGCATAGTATATATATTAGGGATGTGCATCTCATGACTCAGGCCAATACGATACGCATCTCGATGCTTAGCCAACGAGACGATACATTAAAGATACATATGAAGCAGCTACCGATGCGATACGATTCACCCCTATTACGATGCAGTGCGATCCGATTTCGATTCGATTCAACACAATGCGATTTGATAAAATATGATGCACTGGAGAAAATATGATCACTTTTAATGCCTTGAGGCCTGTTTCATAAAACAAGTTAACCAAATAAGCCAGGCTTATTTCAGTTAGTCTGACTCATTGTCAAATTATTTGGTTCCATAAAGCAAATTTAACATAGGCCTAGATCAAGCTAGTCACTGTGGCAACTTATGCTGGGAAACTAACCTGGTCTAAAGCAGGCTAACTGTCAGGCTAAGCTGAGTCCCTCTAACACTGGGACTGAGCAATCCAATGATATTGCCACTGTCTCACATACTATTATTTGACTTGTTTTGTACAGTTTCTAGCAATGCAGCCTTTCTCTCTGGTTGTATTACAGCTATTGCGGATGAACCACTGATGTCACATGGATTATTTTACAGATCTCCTTGCTATGTTTCTGGACTTGGGAACATTTCAGTTGTATTGCTGTCTTTGCAGGGTCAGACAGCTCTCAGATTCCATGAAAAATATTAGTCTTACGGATTTGAAACGACATGAGGGTGAGTAATTAATGACAGAATTTTCATTTTTGGGTGAACTAACCCTTTAAAAATAAACGTGCACAAATTAGTGAGATTGTGTGAACTTAATTTGTTGTTTATGGAACCGCTTTATCCCCGATTGCATTTGTTAGGTTATTTATTTCAGGTCAGGTTTTGGACTTTAATCCCAGTTTTTCCTCAGGTCTCCGTAGTGTTGTGATTCGTCATATTCACGCAGCAGCAGTGACACTTGAGAAACAGTTTAGAGAGGAGAAATCAATCTACATATAAAATATTGGTCACAGATTATTGGTCACTTTCTAAATAATAAAAGTATAGCGCATCCACTAGTAATTATATATAAACGAATCGGTTTTTACCGATGCAAATATGTTAGAAACGATATATGCCACGAAGAATTAAGGCAGTTCTGAAGGCAAAAAGGGGGTCCAACCCGGTACTAGCAAGGTGTACCTAATAAAGTAGCCAGTGAGTGTATATAGGAAGATGCGGGCGTGTGGATGGCACTCTCGGGCGAGGAGCGGCAGCCAGCTAGTGCTCTGCTGCACCTCTTCAGCTGGAGATTTGTGTCCCAGCAAGTTGGGCATCCGCATGCTGTTGTAACCCAGACCCTGGCACAGGGCCATGTTAGTTGGGATGGGCACACAACGAGAGGATCCCTGGTGTTTCCAGAGTCTGCTGGGCACAGCACCAATGCCAGGGCCGAGCAGGAGCAGCAGTAGAGCAGACGCTGTCAGCATCATAGTCCAGAGAGCGTCAGAGAGCTGGAGGGTCAGTGTTAGGTAGTGTCAGAGTAAATCAGTAATAGGTGTATTTATACACCACTGCCTGAGGCCCATCTGGGAGAGGGAGGGACTTTGCAGGACGTGAGAGTGGATTGGTTAGGGAGGGTGTGTTTGTGTGACTGTGTGTGAGGTGCTGATTCTTTTGTTTCTCTGCTGGAGATGATGAAGAGTGAGCTCTACTTTACCACACACATCCTTTTCCTCTCTTCTTTCCAGAGGAGTGTGATTATGATAATATAACACAACAGATTACCCACGAGTCAGAGGAGGTGTTCACACAAACACACACACACACACACACACACACTAGATGATGGATGGATGGATGGATTGATGGATGGATGTATGGATGTATAAATGGATAGATAAATTGCAAGATGGATGGTTTTATGTCTGTGTGTGTGTGTGTGTGTGTGTGTATGTTAAATATGTAAATAGAACATTTTCTAGATAGATAGATAGGTGATAGCTATATAAATGGATAGATACATTTCTAGATAGGTAGATTAATGGGTAGATAAACAGATAGATAGATAGATAGATGGATGTATAGATGTATAAATGGATAGATGCATTGTAAGATGGATGGTTTTGTGTGTGTGTATGTTAAATATGTAAATAGACAGAAAAATTTCTAGATAGATAGGTGATAGCTATGTAAATGGATAGATACATTTCTAGATAGATAGATAGATGATAGCTATATAAATGGATAGATAAATTTCTAGATAGATAGATGTTAGGTAGATTAATGGGTAGATAAACTGATGAATGGATGGTTGTGTAGATAAATGGATAGATAGACTGACGGATGGATGGATGTTAGATGGTTATAGATAGATAGATAGCTATATAAATGGATAGATACATTTCTAGATAGATGTTAGGTAGATTAATGGGTAGATAAACTAATAGATGGATGGATGGTTGTGTAGATAAATGGATAGATAGACTGACGGATGGATGGATGTTAGATGGTTATAGATCGATAGATGATAGCTATATAAATGGATAGATACATTTCTAGATAGATGTTAGGTAGATTAATGGGTAGATAAACTGATATCTACCCATTAATCCAAATAGATGGATGGATGGTTGTGTAGATAAATGGATAGATAGACTGACAGATGAATGGATGTTAGATGGTTATAGATAGATAGATAGATAGGTGGGTGAATGGACGTTGGATAGATAAATGGTTGGATAGATAAGTAGTTTTTTAGATGTTCATGGTTAGATATATTTAGATTTTTTGTGTTTACTGAATGAGAAGTTTTTAGGAACGGTCAGACAGTGAAAGTGTAAAGCTCTGGGAAGGCCTGGCTGTGACAGAGGTGTGTGAAAGGAAGTGTGTAAGTGTGAGAGAGCTGGAGCGGCGTCTGTGCGTGTTTGATGCTCAGGAGTTTTTCCTTCCCCTGCTGGGAGCACTACACAATGTCTACTCCAAAAATGGCTTTCACTTCCTGTCCACTTCATTCCCAGGACCCTTTCTTTCCCCTCGTCCGATCTAATGAGCTAGAGAGAGACCGCATCTCTTGCAGAAAAACCATGCGGAAGAGCTTTATGAAGAGCATGCATCTCTGTGCATGAATATGTTTATGCGTTGTCTGCATTTGAATGATGCTGAACAATAACAGTGATAGATAACACTGAAACCTACATGTAGCAGTCTAAATCACTGAGCACTCTCACCCATCCCAGAGAAACCATGGACCCCGCCGGAACGCATTAATGGCACAGTCTCATTAACACTCTCAATGGATCAGGCAATACCATAAGTCTCAAAGAGGAGGATGGGCGCAATTCATTATATTTGCCAGCTTAATGGCCTCTGCTCTGATCTTAGCTATTTAAAAATGTGTCCATTACCTAGATTAAACCAGTCTTAATATATACAGTACTATATAGTTAAACATTTACTCCTAATTATTTTTGAAGTATTGTGCAGTGACCCAAAACACAGAAAAACTGTGTATTTATTTATTTGTTTGTTTGCAAGTAATATTTATAAAAATATGTATTTACCTTCAAATAATATTTATAAAATCATGAATTTGTTTGCAAATAATATTTAAAAAACATTTATTTATTTGCTAATAATAGCTATAGAAAAATATTAATTGAATTGCATATGAATATTTATAAAAATAATATAAAACATTTATTTATTTGCAAATATTTCTAAAAACATTTATTTGTAAATTATATTATAAAACATTATTTACAAATAATGTTTATATAAATGTTTATTTAATTGCTTATTAATATTTATAACACTATGTATGTATAACACAATATGTTCATTTATTTGCAAATAATATTTTAAAAACATTTTTTTTATTGCAAATAATATTTATAAAAACATTTATTTATTTCCAAATAATATATATAAATACGTTATTTTAATTCATTTTCTATAAAACATTTTCCTATATTAGAATGCCTCTTTTTGAAATGTATTCATATAGGCACTTACATTTGTCATAAAAAATTCAAATCTTTAAGATAATGAGAAACAATTTTAGTAAACGAATTTAGCCCAAACTTCTGTGGCCAGTTGCATAAGCTGCTTAGACTAGTCATAAAAGTGAATTAATTTTTTAGGCAGGTCATTACTTTTTGGGTCAGTTACATAAAACAGTAGATTGGTCTAATTTGAATCTGAAAAGTAAGACTGATTACCTTTGGCTAACTGCTAGTTGGTCAAACTAGTTCTTAATATAGTAGCTGTGTTTATGCAACAGACTGACTAGTTATTTTTTTACTACCAACTTCTGTTCAAGCCATCTTCACGTTCACCTGGGAATGATGGTTCTCACCAGATGAGAATTGATTCTATTAACACCCATTTGCAGTGTCTGTTGATTAGCTCTGTATAGTGTGACTGTGATCCTTTAATCCTGGAGTCTAATCTCATACTTTTCTTCCCTCGTTGACGTTCTCTCTGTCTGCCTCTCACAGACACTTACTGCTACAATAGATCAAACACAGATACTCTGAAATCATGTCAGCTTTTAAGACTCTCTTAACACATTAAGAGGTGTGCTGGGATCTTCAGCTGATACCTCACAACTGTTAATAGAGAAGACTGTAAGCAACACCCTAGCAACCACATAGCAACGCTCTGGCCTTCACCTTACCATCCATAGCATCATGGAGGAAGGTTTGCCATGTTTAAATAACGACCATAGGCCTACTGTTGATTAACTATACCATTTACTAACTATTACTGACTTTGGAAACTGAAAGGTTAAAAAACGTATGACAGAAGTTATTTGCAAAATGAACGTACAAAATGTACATATTAAAAGTCTGTGCTATTTCGTATAAACCACTTGAAAGTAAAATATTAAAACCTAAAATCTTTATTGGCTACATTTGAATTAAAGCGTCGCATTATAATGTACAATATGAAAATGGATATTCATTTTGTGATTTACTGAAGATTACATGTAACACTGTGATTACATTATTTGTGTTTTTAATGATTAACTTAAGAATTAAGGTAATCTAAATTAAAAAACGGGACATTAACATGAATAATGCATCTGTAATATTGGTTGATAATCAGTATATAGGTGTGTTTATATATATTTATGTGTGTATAAGAATACAAATGTTTGGGGTTGATTTTTTTATTTTTTATTATTTTAAGAGAAGTCTCTTCTGCGAACCAAGACCTCATTTATTTGATAAAAAAATACAGTAAAAACAGTATTACTGTGTAATATTATTACAATTTAAAATAACTGTTTTCTACTTTAATATAATTTTAAAATGTAATTTATTCTTGTGATCAAAGCCACGCAACCCCATCATTTCACCAACAAAGAGAAGTTATCAGAAAACTGAAATAAGTCACTGGAACTAGTGCGATCACAAAAAAACCATGATCAAAGCGGCCGTTTGTTTGCATGCTTTGTTAAAGATTTAAATCCAAAAGCATCGATGGTTTACAATAATAAGTGATATATATATATATATATATATATATATATATATATATATGTGTCACTGCATAATCAATATAATTGACATTATTGGTTGAATGCAGTATGCAGACTGACAGTGGCATTGATGTGTGTTTCAGAGATCTCAGGATTCCTGAGTGTGGAGGAGAGCAGTGTGGTGATGCAGCTGGCTCAGCTGAAGGGCCTGACTCACAGCTCGCTCCTCACGGCCCCCGACAGCCAGGAGGAGACGCTCACTCAAGACGAGCTCTTCAGCCTGCTCGACCTCAACCAGGACGGCCTTCTGCAGAGGGAGGAGGTCAGACACAGTCATTCTGCTAATGCTGACACATGTATCAGTTCAGTGGCTTAAAAGGGGGAAAATGAAAGTATTGTCATCATTAGCCGCTTTTCCACTGTCGAGCCAGTGCTTTAAATGGGCGGGGCGGGGCTAATAGCCTCGGACCTGTTGATAAAAGCGGCCGTTTGTTTGCATGCTTTGTTAAAGATTTAAATCCAAAAGCATCGATGGTTTACAATAATAAGTGATACATTGATCATAATGAATGAATTTATCAGGATTGAAAATTAGTCACACAGAAATAAAGCGGTATGAACATAGCCTACCTACTTATTCAGTCGAGTCTGTTTCTGTTTATTTGTAGTCACAGTATATACATCACATTTAGAAAGAATTGTCATTTCTATATTTTTATAAAAGCTCCCGAACAAAAAACATTATTATTTTTATGACATACGCGGAGCTACACTCTCGAGACGAGACTTATGACCGATAAAATATGTTACTAAATAAATACACGATTGTGTTAGAGAATAACTGACGTCTGATTTCTTCAAGCGGTCGTATTTACCATGTTTACTATGGTAACGTTAATGGCTAGCGTGCATAGTCTTTTGCATCGCTTATAAATATTTCTGCCTTGTATGGTGATCATAATCCACATCGGATCAAGTTATTTCAGACACTCGCTGCTGTCTGAAAATGAGTTTTGAACTAAAATTTATTTAAAAGTCTTTAATGCTGGTGTTATAGCTGTTAACTTTAT